TGCCATACACAAACGTCGTAATGGAGAGGCACTCTGTCTATAAACAAATGAATGGAATCTGTTTTTATCCGATGTACACATGGCCGTTATTTATCCAGCTGATATTTTGGAACGAAATCACAACGGACACGGAGACATTTAAATTGGTGCTCTTTTTTGTAGGCAATGGTTGCGCTCCGTTCTTGATCTTCAAATTTCTCATACTCGGGTTCAGAAGGGATCGAACAAAGTTCAACAAACGTATGCAACAACTAAAATGGCTGGCCAATAACCTGGACCAGAACAGACACCGATGGTACTATTTTGACATACATTTTAACACTATCAGATATCTCAATCTGCAACCCTACAGGAGGAGTGATAGTGAATACAACGACTGCAATGATGCACTTCTACAGGTCACATCATAGACGGTTAGTGTTCTTAACAACAGGCAACACACAATACAGACTCATGTTTGCTCACTCGTTTTTTCTATTATACGGTACCTTGCCAAGATGTTGTTCTTTTTGCTTGAATTTCGTGCGGGATATTACTATAGAAAGAGTAGAGTTAAATAGTTATAGACTGATAGTCATTAGAAAGAATATTGTGTTTTTTCCTTCTTCTTCCAGATAAGCTTTGTTTTTGCGCTGGACATGTGTCCAATTTTGATAACCTAATGCTAACACTTAAACTCACTAATTTAATTTTCTTTGTTTCCCTCAGGCTATTACGGCTCAAAGTGTTCCAACCAGTACACGAACCCTGTCCGTGTACAAAATTTAATAAAAAGATATAAAACGACAATTTCCTATTGGCTAGAGAACCTAACCTCAGCAAAGTGATAATAAAAGTGAACAAATTAAGACGAGACTGCTTTGCTAAAATTCTATATAAAACGACAGACTCATATTGGCTAGACTTTTAAACCTGAAATTGTGATCAAAAGCAAAAGTCTTGGGGCGAGAATATTGTGGATGAGTCGTAAATAAAATGACAAATTCCTAATTGCTAGATTACTTAAACTCAAACTCTACCCCGGTTTTAAATTACTCGTAAATCTAATTTTGTATATGTTATTTATACGTTAGTCAGCTTAGTAATATAGTTTTATATTTTGATTAGTTAGTTCTTACCTTTGCCAGTATAGATTTTTATTGTGTTCCTTCTTCATCTACTGAAACTATAATTTTGTACTGGACATGTGTCCAATTTTGATAATCTGATGCTAACACTTAAACTTACTAATTTAATTTTCTTTATTTCCCTCAGGCTATTACGGCTCAAAGTGTTCCAACCAGTACACGGACCCTGTCCGTGTACAAAATTTAATAAAAATATATATCTCGTTCCTCTTTCAGGGGAGCTGTGGTTTCACTGAGCAACGACTTCTTCCAACACTAATCCTGACGACACTAAATCTTTCCGACCATTTGTTTCCTTTTTGTTCTTTTTATTGATTTATACAATTTATTATTAGTATATTACCTGTCTGTGTTTTAACTACTTCACTTTAAATCCTTCCTTCCCTTTACTTTTTAGTTTGATTTTAGTAGATAACGTTATAAATGTTCTATGCGCCGGTCTGAATTGGTCAGTTTCCTCCTAAGCCGCGTTCTGCGCTAGATTTACCGTTTCGCGCCAAATAAATATGTTTAAAATTAAAAGATTTCAATAGAAACCATTTGTATGATAACAAGATAGACTCAGAGAACTGGTAAATTCACAGCAAAATCTTGTACCGCTAAGAATCAGTAGGTGAACTACCGCAACCATAAGATTTATTGTCACCCGTACCTAAGAGCTGGCACGGTCTCGATATATAACATGTCAAAACTTCACTCGATTATCTCCGTTTGTCGTGTATCTAAAAGAAAGTTTTTTACTTTCATTCATTTTAATCTCCCAAGGGACCTAATTATACTAAAAACTTCTTATTTAATATATTGACGTCTTCGCGCCACTGTTGTTAATAGTACACGTTGAGGTTTTCACTGCAGCGTGGCTTTTCACATATGGAGTCATAGATATTAGTTATTATACAAACATACAAGTGTAGATACTGTTTTGTTAACTTTGCTTAACTGGGGGTACTCTGCTAACCGATTAATCTAATAAAAGATGGTGAGTGTTCTTAGTTCTTACTCATTCCTAGATCTATTTATTATACTTGCTTTTGTTTTTTATTCGCTATAGTCTTAATAGACACCAGCATACATAAGGAAGCTCTTATGTATGAACACACATATGTATATATTTGGTATGATTATAGACATATGTGTAGATTAATTCTAAATATGTTCATGACATATTTAGAATCACAGCTTTTCACACTTCAGATCCAAGCTTGACCGCCATGACATCATTATCGGAGGACACTGGTGTTATATATAATTAGGGCTAGGGAAAGGATTTGGCTTTTCTAGTAGTGAGGTCATAACTATCGCGATAGGACTAGCATGACGTAAATCATGGGTAGTAGTATCAAAAACGATGATACGCCTTTGACGATTGGCGTTATGTCTCTGATACTATTGCTGCCCGAAACGTCATCTGTGACACATGCATGGTTCTGAGGAGGGCGTCACAGGTAAAACCACTACTTAATTATGATTTTACGCTTAAACACCAGGGCCCTGGCTCGCACACACAACATTGCACATTTCACTTAGGTGTTTATACTTTTTTATACTTGCCTTGTTATCTTATTACATTTTTTTTCTATTAGTGTATGATATTTGGTTTAATAACTGTAGTATATTTGTTTTGTTTTTGCCTTAAATGTGTATTAATACTAATTTAAGATATTTAAATTACTTTACAACTGTACAAGTCCTTTAGCGCAAACAGTTAGCGATCCGCCTGTCAAACCACGTAGTCTGACATTGTGGGGTTCGAATCCTAGCTCAGCTTGAATTTTGTATATACAACTTTTTTGACCTTAAAAGCGCTGGTTAGTTCAGCTCTTTAACTAAAAACTCACTGACCCTAATGACTGCGATAAATATAGTCTACATTAGAAATGCTTGGTCCAGTACGAACTCCTACTAACGTCAACCACAAGAAAGCTATGTTCAAAATAAAACTGCAAATTCATACGGGCTAGATTACCTGACCTAAAAAATGTAATATTAAAAACAAAATAACTTAGGCGAGACTACCGTGTAAGACTCTTATAAAAAAACGACAAATTCTTATTGGCTAGATTACTTAAAATTAAAGCTGTGATGATAAAAGTGAAATAACTTAGGCGAGACCACTTTTTAAAGATCTTAAATAAAACGACAAATTCCTATTGGCTAGATGACTTAACCTCAGAGATATGTTTTTGAAAGTGAACTAACTTAGGCGAGACTACCGTGTAAGACTCTTATAAAAAAACGACAAATTCTTATTGGCTAGATTACTTAAATTAAGGCTGTGGTGATAAAAGTGAAATAACTTAGGCGAGACCACTTTTTAAAGATCTTATATAAAACGACAAATTCCTATTGGCTAGATGACTTAACCTCAGGGATATGCTTTTGAAAGTGAACTAACTTAGGCGAAACTACCGTGTAAGACTCTTATAAAAAAACGACAAATTCCTATTGGCTAGATTACTTAAAACTAAAGCTGTGATGATAAAAGTGAAATAACTTAGGCGAGACCACTTTTTAAAGATCTTATATAAAACGACAAATTCCTATTGGCTAGATGACTTAACCTCAGGGATATGTTTTTGAAAGTGAACTAACTTAGGCAAGACTACTTTGTAAAGATCTTATATAAAACGACAAATTCCTATTGGCTAGATTACTTAAAATTAAAGCTGTGATGATAAAAGTGAAATAACTTAGGCGAGACCACTTTTTAAAGATCTTATATAAAACGACAAATTCCTATTGGCTAGATGACTTAACCTCAGGGATATGTTTTTGAAAGTGAACTAACTTAGGCGAGACTACCGTGTAAGACTCTTATAAAAAAACGACAAATTCCTATTAGCTAGATTACTTAAAATTAAAGCTGTGATGATAAAAGTGAAATAACTTAGGCGAGACCACTTTTTAAAGATCTTATATAAAACGACAAATTCCTATTGGCTAGATGACTTAACCTCAGAGATATGTTTTTGAAAGTGAACTAACTTAGGCAAGACTACTTTGTAAAGATCTTATATAAAACGACAAATTCCTATTGGCTAGATTACTTAAAATTAAAGCTGTGATGATAAAAGTGAAATAACTTAGGCGAGACCACTTTTTAAAGATCTTATATAAAACGACAAATTCCTATTGGCTAGATGACTTAACCTCAGGGATATGTTTTTGAGAGTGAACTAACTTAGGCGAGACTACCGTGTAAAACTCTTATAAAAATAGTTATAAACAACTTACTAACACACGGACACCTTTTCACTGAGTACATTTCTTTAGGAGTCGAACAACAGTACCAACAACAACAGACTGTATTACACCAACAAGGAGAAGAGGTTGGTCACACCGTTCTCCGTAAAAAACCTATTCATGCCAAACTGGCATGCTGCGTTGGGTAACAGATACAAACATTTGCTGAACAAAGAGAAGCTCAGGTTCAGACAGCAACTCATTGACAAATCAATAATTAACCTGTCTAAGCAAATACTTTCCGCTACAGAAATCAACGCCATCTCAAAAGGTCTAAAATTCATAATCGCGCCACAATCCACTCCCCAGGAAGAATATATTGCACAAATAGAAAAGTTCAAGAGGAGAATAAACTGCAAACTGTTTTTTGCACAGATCAAAGATGAAAGAGACAAAAGGGATGTGGAGTTTAGAAAACCGAACCCTACATGGAACCCGCCGCAATCGAACAATCGGAAGATCAAACGACTCTTTAAAATCCTCGAGATCAAGGTGACACAAATTCTAAGTGATAGAACGGAGAAGGATAGGCCAAATCTCAGCCAGGGTGATTTGAGAGCAATCAAACGTTTGGAGAGGAGCCGTAACATTGTCATCAAAGAAACCGACAAGGGAGGAGGGGTATGCATTATGGATAGGGAGTTTTATGAAAAGAAAATATATGACCTACTGGAGGACTATGTTACATACGAGCGGCTAGCACACAACCCGATGGCACGTATCATCAATGAAGTGCATGACAATGTAGACCTCTTAAAAACACGACACATAATCAGTGAGTCATTGGCTGACTATCTCAAACCTCATGATAACTGTAGAACTCCGTTATTTTATGGCCTTCCAAAGGTACACAAGACTGACGTACCATTAAGACCGATTGTTTCAGGGTGTGGTGGCCCAACTGATAAACTCGCCAAATATGCATCCAAATATTTACAAAGTTTAGTGGAAACACTACCAGCCTATCTTAGAGATAGCACCCACCTCATACAACTACTAAAACAGGAACATATGTCTACGGAGGATTATCTAATGGTCACAGCAGATGTCACCTCACTGTACACCAATATTCCTCATGAAGATGGCATAGAGGCAGTGAGATATCATCTCCAACAGAATCCCAACCACAAGTTTCCAACTGACCTGCCACCCATTCCACCTACGTCCTACTTCACCCTCATAGTACGTACCATCCTAGAAAATAGCACCTTCCAGTTTGGAGAACAACACTTCCACCAGAGGTATGGAACGGCCATGGGTTCGAGGATAGCGCCACCGTATGCTAATTTGTTTATGGGAATTCTGGACACTGAAATTACAAACAACTTCCCAAACAATATAAAGTTCTATAAAAGATTCATTGATGATCTCTTTTTTATTTTCAATGGGACGGCGGAAGAACTCGAGAGAATTCAAATTTTCATGAATGGGCTGCACAATAGCATAAAATTTACCTTCAGAAGTTCGCCATACACAATTGACTTCCTAGATCTCACAATTTCAAAGGACTCGAGGGGAATGCTATGTACCAAACTATACAGGAAGCCAACGGACACCATGAGTCTGTTACACTTTGAGTCTAGCCATCCAAGACATCAAAAACTTGGTCTCATTTATGGGCAGACGTTAAGGTTCAATAGGCTTACCACACGTAATGATGACTTGAAAAAGGAACTGGAAGTCCTAGCCAGAACGCTGGTGCTGAAAGGTTACCCGCTATCGGTGATTAACTTTCAAATACAAAAAGCCTTAAGCCATAGCCAAGAAGAGCTCGTAAGAAAGTCAATACAGTCCAACGAAGAGGTTGACAGGGGGTTGACTCAGAGAATACCGATCGTCTTACCCAATGACCCCATAGGAAGAAGGTTACACAGTGTCATAGCAAAACACTGGAACATTGTGGAACACGATCCGTTTCTCAAAAGGGTCTTTCCACAAATGCCTCTTCATGCTTATACCAACCACAAGTCTCTGAAGGATCGCTTGATTAGCACCAGGTTCACAACAACTGACCATAATTTGTTATAACACAACGGACTGTGTGCGATTTGTAAATATCTCTTTTTTCTTATGCATGTGGGTGTATGTATGTGTGTGCATGTGCGTATGTATATATATATGTATATATATTTGCATGTATGTATGTATATATGTATATGTGTATATGTGGGGGTGTGTGTATATGTATGTACGTATAATAACCTATGATATACATGCTCATGATTGGTTGTTGTTCTTAGAATGCTCGTGGTTATACACTTTAGGTAGACTAGATGGTTATACAACTTAGTTAGACAGTTACAGTCAGATTAGTATTTTTTAATAACATCTAGACATTTCTAAGTAACTGACATAGGTATTTTTTGATAACATCTAGACAATTCTAGATAATTCTAAGTTATTGTTAATGATGCTATATCTTACCAGGAACCACACATAATGTTGCCATACCTAAATGAAGCTGTGACGGAAGCAATGGCAATGCCATACACAAACGTCGTAATGGAGAGGCACTCTGTCTATAAACAAATGAATGGAATCTGTTTTTATCCGATGTACACATGGCCGTTATTTATCCAGCTGATATTTTGGAACGAAATCACAACGGACACGGAGACATTTAAATTGGTGCTCTTTTTTGTAGGCAATGGTTGCGCTCCGTTCTTGATCTTCAAATTTCTCATACTCGGGTTCAGAAGGGATCGAACAAAGTTCAACAAACGTATGCAACAACTAAAATGGCTGGCCAATAACCTGGACCAGAACAGACACCGATGGTACTATTTTGACATACATTTTAACACTATCAGATATCTCAATCTGCAACCCTACAGGAGGAGTGATAGTGAATACAACGACTGCAATGATGCACTTCTACAGGTCACATCATAGACGGTTAGTGTTCTTAACAACAGGCAACACACAATACAGACTCATGTTTGCTCACTCGTTTTTTCTATTATACGGTACCTTGCCAAGATGTTGTTCTTTTTGCTTGAATTTCGTGCGGGATATTACTATAGAAAGAGTAGAGTTAAATAGTTATAGACTGATAGTCATTAGAAAGAATATTGTGTTTTTTCCTTCTTCTTCCAGATAAGCTTTGTTTTTGCGCTGGACATGTGTCCAATTTTGATAACCTAATGCTAACACTTAAACTCACTAATTTAATTTTCTTTGTTTCCCTCAGGCTATTACGGCTCAAAGTGTTCCAACCAGTACACGAACCCTGTCCGTGTACAAAATTTAATAAAAAGATATAAAACGACAATTTCCTATTGGCTAGAGAACCTAACCTCAGCAAAGTGATAATAAAAGTGAACAAATTAAGACGAGACTGCTTTGCTAAAATTCTATATAAAACGACAGACTCATATTGGCTAGACTTTTAAACCTGAAATTGTGATCAAAAGCAAAAGTCTTGGGGCGAGAATATTGTGGATGAGTCGTAAATAAAATGACAAATTCCTAATTGCTAGATTACTTAAACTCAAACTCTACCCCGGTTTTAAATTACTCGTAAATCTAATTTTGTATATGTTATTTATACGTTAGTCAGCTTAGTAATATAGTTTTATATTTTGATTAGTTAGTTCTTACCTTTGCCAGTATAGATTTTTATTGTGTTCCTTCTTCATCTACTGAAACTATAATTTTGTACTGGACATGTGTCCAATTTTGATAATCTGATGCTAACACTTAAACTTACTAATTTAATTTTCTTTATTTCCCTCAGGCTATTACGGCTCAAAGTGTTCCAACCAGTACACGGACCCTGTCCGTGTACAAAATTTAATAACAATATATATATATATATATATATATATATATATATATATATATATATATATATATATATATATATATATATATATATATATATATATATATATATATATATATATATATATATATATATAGGTGTGCGTCTGGTGAACCTCTCTTATGCAAACTTGGAGCATTGAATATATACAAAATTAACATACATCTTGTTTTACAGTTTATGTACAAAATAAAATAAATAATACAAAATAAAATAAATAATACTAATATAAAAAGAGAAAATTTTATAGACTTTCTAGGTGTGGTCTTGGATGAAAATTTGTCGTGGAAGCTCCATATAAACACTTTAGTGAGAAAGCTCTCAAGAAATATTTCATTAATGTATAAAGCAAAACCTTTCCTAAATATTATTTCCTTAAGAAGTTTATACTTTTTATTAATACATAGTCATCTAAGCTATGGTAACATGGCCTGGGCAAGCGCAAACTGTACTAAGCTTAAAAAACTCTACAGTAAACAAAAACATGCCTGTAGAATTGTCTTCGGAGTAAGTAAAAAAGCGTCTGGTGAACCTCTCTTATGCAAACTTGGAGCATTGAATATATACAAAATTAACATACATCTTGTTTTACAGTTTATGTACAAAATAAAAAATCTCCGCCGATATCTCAACCCTATTTTAGCGAAATAAGTCATAAATACCCTACTAGATTCTCATATAACAACTTTGTCATCCCAAAATTTACATTAAAGTTAAATTCATACTCAATCCAACACCGCGGACCTTATTTGTGGAAAATTTTTCCCCAGATTGTTTCTATCAAAAGAAATACACTTGAACAGTTCAAATCTGAATCAAAGCGTTTTTTATTATCTACGGACTTAAATTTTTTTTTTCTTTTTTAGTATAAAATAAACTAGCACAATTTATTTCTTTTATTTGTTTTAACTTTTACTTGTTCTAAATTTATTTTACTAAACGAATTTATATATAAACAGTTATATCAATTGTAAAACGTAGTTTTTCACATTTTTACATATTTTATCACAAACAATTTATCACGATTTTATATATTTTGTTGTAAAAAACGACCTGTAATGAAGTCACTATGGGGCTTGGTGATAAGACAACCTGATGTCTTCCTCTTGCTCCAGCCATTTGTTTTATTATTTATGTTATTTTATAAATTGTAACTTTCTACGGCAAAAAATTGAAAAAAAAAAAAAAAAAAAAAAAGTTGCAGCACTAATTTTTACAAAACCAAAATTAAAAAAAAGTTGCATATATAAAAAAGATTATGTAGCTAAGATACGCAGCCATTTTAAGATCTCTGAAATTTCTTATGAACTTTTTGAACATGCGCTCAAAAACATAACGCTTGTATTTGACTGTGCATAATTATAGGTTTTTAAGATTTTGGAGCCCTAATGACAGTTTTGGGGGGAGGAGTAGGCAGAAGTGGCAGAGTCTTTAGCCACACAAAAATTCCTTGATCCATCGCTCGGCAGTTTATTAATTTTTGTTAAATTCATTTATTATAAAGAAGTGCACAACTTTGGAACACTTCAAACCAAATCGCACTTTTGTATGCTTGCACCCAGGGCCCGATCTAGAACAGCACGGACTATAGACACAACACAATTTGGGGGCCCCTTGTCAAAAAATTATGTGAACAAATAAATGTGTCCTCATTTATCAAACCCTGAAGGCCGAAAGTTTGAGTTGACCTATGACCAGCCACCCAGAAATTAACCCGGATTGATAGCTTTCGAAATCAGACGTCGCGTCCACCAAGGAGATTATCTGTATAAAAATTGATATCACAAAAAATTGTACAATTAAGAAATTTTTTCAATATTTATGAACAAACTTTTGAATACATAACTAAATGATTGTCATCTTTTACCATGCTACATCCATTTTTTTTAGACAGCCATTGTTCCCAAGCTTGTTCTCAATTAAAATCACAAAGAAACACTTTACAACCTATTTCAAAAAACAATATTTAAATTACCTAAGCAAATTATCTAAGCAAGAATAAGTATAATCAAAATGAAAATAAATATAATAGAAGCTACAAATAAATATAATAGAAGCTACAAAAAATATAATAGAAGCTACAAATGAATATAATAGAAGCAACAAATAAATATAATAGAAGCTACAAATAAATATAATAGAAGCTACAAATAAATATAATAGAAGCTACAAATGAATATAATAGAAGCAACAAATAAATATAATAGAAGCTACAAATAAATATAAGAGAAGCTACAAATAAATATAATAGAAGCTACAAATGAATATAATAGAAGCTACAATTAAATATAATAGTAGCTACAAAAAAAGTTCCATTTCAAATAAAAAGTATTTTTTCTGGAAATAAAATTAGAGAAATTTATTTTGTATCACTAAATAGCAATATTTACATGTTTTACCCTGAAAAAATAAAAGTCATGTTCATTTCAATATTTGAATAGTAAATAAGAATTTTGGTTGAAATAAAAAATTCTATTTTTTGATACACATAAATTGTCATAAGTGCTTATGCAATAACTTCTGTAGTTCATATCATGTTATTCAGTAGTAGTAGCAAAAGATTCAGTAGTAGTATCAAGAAAAGCCGAGCTCATACTCATACTGCAACAGCAGTTTCCTTTGTAAGATTTTTTTTCTTATTGTAAGATCTTGATATACAAACAACAATAAATTGTTAAGATATGGATCATAAAATATGGAGAATTAAATCCTTCTTAGAGTCTAAATTTAATCAATCCATTTTCAAACTTTGTTTCCATTTATTTATCTCAAATCAAAGACATTCTTGATCTATCATGGATCTGCGAAGCTTTTGTCTAGCTATTTTCATACGATTTGCAACGGTCTCATCTCTTTTCATCACGTTTATTTTCTACCGCAAAATAATTTCAGAATTTAATCATAAAAATTAAAATTGTATGAAACTTTGTTTAAATAAATATTTTAAGTTTTGTTGCTATTTGGGTTCGATATGTTTAGAACTATTTTTGAAGGTTCAGTTTAATTCACGGACGGACGTTCATTGTAAGTACAATGAAGATACTTGTGCCCGCTGGGAAGACTATTTGTCAAGACAGGAATATAATGTTGATCTTCAACAAATAGAACCACTTTTGATTTAAGTTTGTCAGGAGGATCATTAATACACTATAAAAAACGCTATTTACCCCAAAAATTTACACAATATTTTTATCAATGAAATTAA